TCCACTTTCTCTCTGAATCAGTGGATCCTAAGTGGAGAAATTAATATTTAATGCCTCTGGTAGAGTGCTACAGACACTTCCTGGGTGATTGCATCAAGCTTGCAGGTTTGATAGTATCAATCCAACCTTTCGCATTTCACAGTGCGGTCCTATTGTAGAATGACAAATAATAAAACCTTGATTTGGCTCATCTAAAACGTACATTTATTTCTGATTCTGAACTTACTGCTTCCCCTCTTTTACATTTATCACATTTTTTAGTGCGCGCACACATGACTGCATATATTTACCTACAGTACAGTGGATAAATTATACACTCTTGCATGTCTCACATTCGTCATTTATGTGAGAGGCACTTTGGAAAGCAGGTACACTTGAAATTGAATGGTTGTGCCTTGGTGATTGAGGGATTAGCTACTTAGTCCTGAAACAAAGATTTAAGTGCCTGCTTTCAATAGCCCCACAATCAGAGCAATATTCAGACAGTTTGAGTTGTAATGACTAAAACAAGGGTCAAGCTGATGGGAAATGTTTCAATGAACCAGAGTAGAAATATTTATGAAAACGGTTAAAAACAGGAATTCATTCTAGCTGTTTGTAATTAATACTTATTCATCAGACTGTGTAGAAAAACGCATGAACTGTTTTTCCTTTGGCTTACAACACCACTAATGGCAGCAGTATCAAACACACCCTCAGTATTTGATTATGTGTAACTACTGTTCACTCTGTTTTAAATGAGAGACAAGCTGGACTGCAGTTTTAAGAGCCAGGGGGGAATTTACTCAGCATTCATCATGCATGTCCAATTCATTAGCATCTAGCGCTTTATAAGGGTATCATAAATTTCAGATCTGAATTTTAACATCAAGAACTTAGCCTTATTAATAAATTACCACCACACGATTTGGATTAGTGCAGGGTGTTAAAACATAGCACGTCTTAACGTTGGCTCAGGACATGAGCAATAGCACGACACTATGTGTGGATGTGTGATTTTTGTGGTAAACCACCCAGCAGGGTATGACGTTAAATTATTTAGTTATTTATAATTGTTCAGCCATGTTTTTTCTTTAATATGAAGGACTGTTGACGTGACTCAAGCCTCAATATGACAATTAAGAATGCACATATTATCTTCCCTCAATATTTTCCACATATCACTTGGTATACTAAAACTTAGAGCAGCATGTAATACTGATATATCAAAAGCAGCAACGTACCAAGCTCTTCCTCGTTCCTCAACTTAGAATAAAAGCTGTTCACTATATGTACAAGATCATAGTAGCAACACAACACAAGTTTTGTCGTCTGTGGACATGTTTCCTTGAGACCCCGTCATTCAGTACCACATTGATGAGATTAAAGTGCCTTTTGCCTCTTTAAAGAACAGCACGCTCCCTGTGTACAGCATAGAATAGATGCCAGTTGATCGACAGCCAATTTTCTATTGCGCTTCTGTTGTGAATACAGCCGTGAGCTCTGCACCACGTTAATGAGTTATTGTATGTGTGTTTGAGACAAGCGGCAACACCGAGCCAAACACAATTCGCAGCGTTGCAAAAGCGTGTGGGGAGTAGGGGCTGTCAGCTTGTGTGCTTAGACCCACACCAGTCCGCTGGTCTAAATCCAATTCATCAGCCTTTAATGGACTGCACAAATTGTCTCTCTAGGATCTTAACTCGAGGAGTGGATGGACTAACCAGGAATCAAGTGACAGCATATGGCGCATAGTGTTGAGTACAGCATAATAAGGCAAGGGCTGCAGAATTTGTCACTAACATGTAAAAAAGTTTTTGAATCCATCATTCTACATAAAATGTGTGATTCTTCTTCAGAAAGAAGGGAGTTGCAGGCAGCCCAGAAGAATTATTGGTTTATAAATCAAACATTCACTCTGAAGAAAGTCTTTACTTCAAACTGAACAACAAAGCTAAACCTAACAAAATCAATTAGTGTCAATTAGTTTCCCAAATTGACATTTTTCTGAAGGTCTCAACAAAAGTGTGTCTTCGCTGTGCTGCACATTTGACCTCGTGCAATCATCACACTTTGCACTGCAATCCCAGTTTGGACGAGCTGAACGACCATGTGTGGTTGTGTGCCTGAATGTCACTGCACACATATCTAGTGTACATGCACCTGCAACTAAAATTACAAGTGACATGTTTCGATAGCAATGGGCGCCTTCATAGAGTAATGTTCAGCAGCCGGTGGATTCAGCTGTGCGTAGTGTGGTGGAGATGTGAGAGCTATCCTTTCTGCTAAAAATCCATTTGCTCTCTCCATTTTCCTGCAGTTAAACATGACCATACAGCTCACAGGGCTCAGCAGCAGCAACAACAACACCACTAGCAAATTGTCAGTCATTTACTCAGGGTCACCAACACTTATGGTCACTCTGTTCAACTCCATCAGACCTTTGATCCCATTTGTGAATGGTGTTGTGGATGTACGCATGTGTGTATGAGCATAATACACACCATTAAATAAGTTGCATTTCTGAGAAAGAGTCCAGAATTCTCCTGAAAAAAGCATTTTAAACAGGAACATTCACTGTAGAAATGTTGTTTAATAAACACACCTTTAACTCTTTCTCCCCCACAATGTTTCTTTGTTGTTTCTCAGCATGGTTTGTCTGCACTCTCTCCAGCTGTCAAATTACCACCTCTCTGACTTGTTTCACTTCAGCTGATTATTCAATACAATTTTGGAAGAAGAGTAACACAGGTGGTATCTCACTGTCTCTCTTTTACTTCCCCCTTTGTGTTTTATAAGGAAAGGAGAGTGGGAGAGAATATGAACCCATCTGCACCAAAATGAGTCATCAGTCCCTTTCCAAGGTTGATAACATCTCTAACAATCTGGGAGCGCAAACAGTACCCCAGCCACTACTGCTTCAACATCAGCTGTTGTCAGACAACATGCAGCAAAATGCAGGCTGGACCACCTGTCAACACATATCAGCATGGAAGCTTTTTTTTCTGGAGAAAACATGTATTGGAAAATGTGAAGCCGAACTCCTGGATAATCTATTATTTTGACCCTGTCATTAGGCCTAAAAATTATTTTGTATTGTTCTGAACTTGTTCCAGCTCCTGTGTTATGAGAATCAGTCTAGGATCAGTGAGTTTTTCTCTTAAAGCGATGGAGCTTTTCCTTCTATCCTGTCTTTGAATGAGGGACTGCTCACCTCTCCTCTTCACTGCACTCTCGCATGCGGCTCTCCTGACCTTACTTCACGCCCCGCTTGGCAGGAACACTGAAAGACTTCTCTCCATCCATCGCTACTCTCTCTCCCCACTCTCACACCTTCGCTTTCCCCAGTGCTGACATAACTGAGGGGATCGACTCTTAATGATTTTTTAATATCTCCCACATCTTGGGACCCTGTGGCTGAGGTGAGGAGTGTTCTGTGTGATCAGTGTTTTTCAGACTCTACATCTTGTTTTAATCAGAATATCATCTCACCACTCGGGCCTTCTGAGACAGTTGTGCCCTTTTTTGCATTCCCTCATATCACATTTAGTCTTGCACTTTTCCTCCACCTCTTCCTTTCGCTGAAGTGTGAGCATGTTATTTAAGATTACCCTGTGAGGGGACTCCCCAGGGCAAAGTCAGAGAAAGCTTTGACTCAGAGGTCAGTTTTTCAATGTGCAATGCACATTGATTGAGTTGAGCTAATACTTTAAATCATCGGCAAATCACTTTTGTTTATTTTAACACTGTGGATTTATTTGTCATTCTATTATCCATCCTAAAAGAGACTTTGACACATGTGAACAAAAGCATATGGCTTAGGATGCTAAAAGAAAAAGACACAAGTGTGATATTTTAGTTTATGTTCACACTATGCTGCTATAACACCTCTCTTAGATGTGCAAGGCTGTTAAATTAGCTCTGTGCCAACCATTCAGAGGCGCAGGAAACAAACTAACTTTGTTCCAAGTTAGATTATGAGGCATCATGTTGCAGTGGCAGCTCAAGCTAGAACTTCTTTGTGGATGTTTGTTTTTCCCCTTTTCCCGTAATAGTAGCTAAGATTTCAGCTTTTTGTGGATTCCCTTTGAGGTAAACATTGTCATCTCAGGGATCAGAGTGGCAAATTGCGTACAGTATAGTCTATCAGGAGCTTTTTACCTCTCTGGGTCTCTTAGCGCTTTGGTGTGGGTTGGATCAAAAGCTTTCATCAGATCAGAAGGATGCCAGAGCGGGCCTGAACCTTCATTGCAAAGGTCATGGTTCACTCCATTATTCATCAGGTTCACATGCTAAAGTCAGGGGAGTGTTAAGAAAGAAAAGCGAAGAAGAGAGATCGAGAGATTGATTAGAGAGGCGTCCCTCTTTCTATATCTGTCCTCCCACAGAGACCCCTGCCAAAATTTCTTGTTCGTTATTGCAAAGCCCCAGCTCTCCTATGGGTAAGGAACAAAGGGTGGAGGCAAAACGAATGAGGGAGCAGCAGAAAGAGAGAGGCAGGCTTATAAGACCTTAAAAGACCCCATCTCCTGATTTAGCCATCTCTCCTGTCTCCCGCCACTACCAGCTCTTTGAGATAGGAGACCAAAACAGAAGGATGCCCTTAACTCCTCAAATATGACACCCACAATGCCACCTTGATGTCCACAGCTCTAAGCACCACTTTGTTCCAAGACCCTCAACCACTGGCCAAGATGAGTGGAGTTGCCAAGAACGGAGAGAATATTAATTTGGTAGGCTCTCCTGAAATGCCCGAGCCTTTCCCCAGCAGCAGCTCGGCACCCAACAATCATTGTGTCATCTCACCCCTTTCAGTACTTGCTATTCTCTGTAAAGGATAGAAAACAGCTGAAAACACAAAGCAAAAAAAAACACATTCACACTTACCCTGTGAAATCTAAATACATCTGGGGCCCTTGTTGTACATTCACAGCACAGCTATTGTATTCCCCGCTGAGCATATATGCTGTAGCTGTTCCGGGTTGGTTATTTATTTATTTATTTTTTTTATGCGATGGCAGGGGCTTATCGTTGGCCGTCAACAAAGCTCTTTCTGAACAGTGATCCGGGCTATCCAGCCTCTCTAGAAATCCTGACGTCCTCACTACCCAGGGGAATGTTTCAGGAAAGGAGCATGAGAGGTGAGATCTATAACTGAACACATATCACTTTCTTCTCCCCATCCGCCCCCGCTATCTCTCCTATCCTGTTATATACACACACGCGTGTGCGCGCGTGTGTGTGTGTACGCGCGCACACACACACACACACACACACACACTCCACCTCCGCAGAACAATGAGAGAATTCTGTGGTCCCCAGTTGTGCAAAAAAAAAGCTCACTCCTCCACTCAACTTTTTATTTTTTTTTTTAATAGCAGCATACAGTATCAGCAGAATTACTGCGGCTCGGCTTTGACGCTGCAGCAGCCTTGCTAGAGTGTGTCAAGCCCAGAGGGGTTTATGGCTTTGATCTAACACACAATACCCAGTGTGTGAGGGGGGAAAAAGTGTGCATACGCGCACACACACCCGTACGCAAATGAGCGCGCGGCTCACCCGCGAATGCTCCTACAAACACATACACCTCCACAGTCACACACAAGTGAGCGCTCACATCCCCTTTGATATAGTTCCAGGCTTTTAGTGGGCGATTAGGAGAGGCGACCCAGCTAAGGTCTAGAGTGATAGGAGGAAGCAGGAGCCTGCTGCTCTTTAGTTAGAGGAAAGCAATACTCTGTCTGTAGATAGAGGAGTAATTATGCTCAAGGGTGGAGGGGAGAGAAGAGTGAGCATCTTGGAGTAGAAGCCAATGAGGGAAGGAGGCTTAGGGTGAGGGTGACGAAGCCTGCGCTGGGGGGTAGATTACCGATTCCCCACTGTGTCACCCCCACAGACAGCAATTAAAATTCCTCCAGAGGGATTTTAGCGTGTGTTTATTGTATATGTGTGTGTGTGCGGGGCTAAGCATATGTGTATTTACCTTATGGTGCAGGGTGCGGTTGTGCATGAATTTATCCAGTGCTGCATAAATGCCATCGAGGCTGGCATTGCGGTGCATGCACACGTGTGTGTGAGTGTACACACCACTATTTACTGAATCCACTCCAACACTTATTGGTGGTCTAAGGGATATGAAATATTAATCCCCCCCTCTCTCTTAATGATTCATAAATTGTATTCCGATACTCGCCACTCTGCTACTCCTCACTACTTTCCACTCTCTATAATTGGACTGTTGGCTTGGTTAAGAAAAAAAGAGCGACAGACAAGTGTGGAGTGTGGAGCATGAGATGAAAATCAAGTTTTCCTCCCTTCTCACACATTTTCAGCAAGCCGCATGCAAGTGCTGAGGGATCATAATGTCAGTAAATAGTATTCATGAACAAATGCTCTCCCAGGGAGTGTGTTTTTTGCATTCACACCAGCATTAAACCGCACTGTGTATTTGTCCGGGAAAACCGCTGCAGACTGCCAGTGACACCTTACAAAATACCGGCATTAGCAGACAGGAAACCAGGGAGTGCTTTGTTTACTGTAATAAACCCCCCATTATGAGTAGAAAGTTCACATATTGTTTTCTCTCTCTCCTAACATTAAGATATGGCCAGGCCTCGTTCTAATGTTTGCTAATCCAAAAGAAACAGATTCACATTATGTTTGTTTTATTTATTTATTACCCAGCATCGATCGGAGCCGCAAAATCACCACTCAGGACTAAATGAAAAGAAAATAACCTCCTCAGTCAACAGCTTCTTTATCTGCTGTTTCTCTCAGACTCCCAGCCTTTAACTTGCTCTTTTTGATTCAATAACAATTTATAAGATAGGAACATTAATATTAGGATAGGAGAAAATCTCCAGTGAAAAGAGATTGGCTGCTTTAGACGCCTTTATTCTCCACCTTACTCTGTCTTTATGTGTCATATGCACACCTAAACACACACACACAGGGGCAAAACTGTCCCATCTGCAGGACCAGCTGGATGTCTGCTTACAATAAAAGGTGAATTAATAAACTGTATAGCTCTACTTATTTGCCTGTCACAAGGTAACTCACAGAGCTGATTGGCTTTAGATGGTGACATGTCTACACTCAGTGAGAGCGTACATTTGTGCTTTAGATGAGCTTTAATGTAATCTCCCTCATTACACACACACACACACACAAACGTAATGAGGGATAAGCTGCTAAGGCTTTTGTAGAAGGTGGGTTGCCATTCTTGCAGAAGTAGAAGAATCAAACAAACATAAATTCAGCATGAAAAAATAGATTAGCGTGACTTGCACAACCGCAGACCTCCTAGATAAGATACAAGGACATAGAGACAAAGTCTTACACGTGTATGTTCAGTCACGCTCACCTTAGTTCAAGGATTCATCAGGAATTATCAGTACAGCTGTAATTCCCTCCTGTATCTCTCTCATGAATAGAGAATGCTCTGAATAATACTGATCATCAATCATTTACACACAAGAATGTAACTGGATCTTATCATCAATACAGAAGACGCTGCAAAATGCAATTGCATCTAATTGTGATTTTTGGAAAAAGAAAGCATCTGAACAATCATCCCAAAGATTTAGCAAGAAGCACTCAATAAACCAGGCACAAGTGGTTCCTCAATCACACCACAAGCCCTACTGACTATAGCAAAGGTCAGTTCCTCTGAGAATCGAAACGACCGGCCCTAGATATCTTTGCCTCTGACAGGAGCCTCTATTTTCCATTGCCTGAACCCACGTTGACCAATGACTAATGAAGATTGATTCAGTATACTGTGGGCATAACAACTTCCAGGAGCTAATAAATCCTTCCAGTGCTGTGGTACAGACAGACAGAGACAAAGGGACAGCGAGACAAGTAGGAAATAGGGAAGAAAGTGCAGGAAGAGAGAGCTGTGGGTTGCTGATTCGCCCTTTTTCCCCTACTTGTGCTGCAGATGTTTTCCTTGGGATAGCGTGAAGCTATGTGGGTCAAAGGCCAGGACTGCAGTGATGTGTGATGTAAGACCATGATTGTACTTGCTGCAGGGTTGGAAATAAAAAAAAAAAGAAAAAAAAAATCCCGAAGAGGGAAAAACATTAACGTAAAGAAATACTGACATGGTCTGGCATGTGGATATGGCATCCACACACGTGATCACTGTAATGAGAATATTACAAGTCTTTTATCACACTACACATGTCAGTGCCAACAGAGTGGCGTCCCACTTGTCCACCTCCCCAGTGTTTTCATTATAATGTCACCCACTCACAAGTGAGACAATTTGACATGGCTGCCATGAAAGGAAAAGCACAACTGTCCACTGTCTGTGAGGTAATGATAAGTATTGAGCATATAACATACCATTACTTGCTCTGTGTATTTAAGAGACAGCTGAATAGGGGGGTTAGAACAAGATTCTCTCCAGGGCTGTGTACATGCATGGGGCTGAACACAAGCATGTGCTCACAATTCCATCTTCTTCATTTACACAGTATTGTCTTTTAAAATTTATTTCATTATAATTATTTCAAAGAGGCTAGCAGAACAGAGTCTGGCAAAGACAGAAAATAGATAGCTAGCAGTGAAAGCTTTTAATCACTGGGACAAATGTAAAGGTTGGCTGGCCACCAATATGATGCAATGTGGTGACATTTTTATCCTCTGTCCTTGCGCAAGACGTTCCTTCATTAGGTAGAGTTTTCATTTATTTTTTTATTTTTTTTGGGGGGGGTGGTACTCTTAGAGTGAGTAAAGAGGCAGATAGTAAAAATGGGGGTAGGGGGTTGCAAGCCGGACTCAAAACAGTGACATTGCAGTTATACGCCATGCGCTGTAACCGTTCGGCTACAAAGATAATTTTATTTATTATTGAGATAAAACTCTCAAAGACTCAAACTCTTACTTTTCTTCACAACTATCATCTCATCAGTGTCTCTGTTTTTTGCACTGCCACACACACACACAAAAAAACCCACAACCACGTCTGTGCTCTCAAGTGTACAACACAGATAAAACATCATTAACTGCCCCCACATTTCTCATCTTTTTCCTCCCACAATGAGGACACAATACGTTCTGGGGCATGCACCCATCTCCCTTCTTTTCCATCCAAGTGATGTATTAATGCTAGCAGCAACCACCCCCTCCCCTTCATCTTTCCACCCACTCTGTGGGGTACGTTCTGATGGGTGGAGACGTTGTGCGCTCCAGGCTCCCAGGCCCTTCCACATCTGGAGCCTGCCACTTCTGTTCTGTTCCAGCAGGCTTGTGAGCTGCTGTGAGGACCACCACAGGCCACCCCTCATCGCGTGTCCCTGTCGCTGCCATCTCCTCCGGGTGGGTGGAGGTACAGCTGACATGGATGCTGTGCATGTTTATGTATGCGTTGATTCTAATAATGTTCAGTTCATTTACATGCCAGGCTAGACAGCGGTGGACCACCATAATGTGACTTGTCATGCACTCTGACTCTCCTGTCTGCTACATTTCTGCACTGCCAACACAAGCATTGTCTGAGCCTTGTCTATTTATTCACTGGCCTCAGGGTTTTCCAGCACAAGCTGCTGCATAGACTGTAAATGCCTGCCCTACTGTTTCTGTCGCTGCCTCCCACCTTTACCCATGTTAATGTCATGTATAGTATACACCGCACAGTGTAATAGCAATTGCTAGCTTTTGATTAGGTTGATGGCTCACGATAATACATTTTGAGGATGTATAGAGGACGGAATCAAAACAGACCAGCCTACCAAGAAACCCTTTCAGCACCAAATACAGTCTCGTCTGATGTTTGGCCACATGTTTAAGATAGCAGAGGAGAGCAGAGGCGAGGAGCAGAGAGTGGGAACCTAATAGTGAGGGATGGTTCCGTGACGCAGCCCTACAGAGAGAGATAGCCCTCCATCTCACTTATCTCCTGTTTGCTCAATTTCCTCTGTGTACAACAGTGCACCTGGGGTCTGGCTGCAGCCTCCCAATGCTCCTCAGCGGCAGCCCCACGAGATAATAGCCAATCCCGCTCTCCCCACTCCCAAATCAGACAGGGCCAAAAGACCTTGTGCTTTGTTTAAGATTTCCAATGAACTAACCCATGTCCCTCTGGTGGCAAGCCATTACAAAGCCAGACAGACTTATATCAGACTCCTTTTTGCTC